GGGTATCACTGAAAGAGGAACTGTCCTCAACAGCCAAAGCTAAGAGGAAGGATGAAGAGATTTTCAAATGTTTCTCCTTTCTGCTGACAGCCCACATTTCATCTGTAAGCTGCRGTGAGGAGAATTTATAGATCCTTCTGTGACTTTCTGCCTCTGTTATGATTGTAAAGATGGCTCTGCTCCTGACCCTCATTGTTGCAGCATGCCACCCCTCTCTGCTTCACTGTGTTTTTGGAAGGCACTTACTGTTTATTTTTATCTTTTTTTCTCCCCTTCCCCCTTTTTTATTTATTTTTTTACTGGACGTGTTAGTTATTACAGTATGTGGTTTTTCTGCTCCATTTATCCCGGGACTATAAATGCGTGCTGGCTGTTTGGTCCCTGGGGGTCACGTTTTGTGACGCACAACGCCCRAATCCTGAGTCAGCTAATTGTTCGCATGCAGCCCATCTTTGTTGATGTCACTGTTTTCCTTTTTAGATGTTTGTTGTGCACAATTTTCTACGAGTGTGTGTGAGATCCAGGAGGGAGTGTGTGTGTGTGTTGGTTGTTTATGGGTTGTAAGGATGTGTTAAGTGTTTCTTGTGCGAGCTGCAGAGTGACTGGAGCTACTGAAGCCATTTAGCGGCCCCTGGAGTAACCCCAGGGACTGCTGCGTTGACGCCACTCTGACTGCTATTACAGACAAGTTTAAGAGGCTGTAAAACATTTGGCTACTTTTCCTTTCTCCTTTCTCCCTCTCTTCTGTGTGTGTGTGAGAGTGTGTGTGAGCAATTTGGGAAAGTCTCCCAGCTATTGTAACAACCATAGCAGCCATTGTTGCGATTAGTACCAACTCCAGGAGCAAAAATAATAATGTTTCAAACTTTATTGTGTTTCCTTTTTTTTGGTGCATGCTCATTACCGATCAGTTCCCAAGCAAAGATAATCTATTTAGCATTGAAGTGTTGACATAGTAGCAACACACACACACTCACACACGCCAGTGTGATGAGAGTTAATGAGTAGATTGTGTGTTATAACCTCTTCTTCCACCCTAATGACCCATCCCTGCTTACACACACTCAGAAATACACACACACGTTCTGCTTTTTTTTTTTAATGAGCTGACAGAGCAGAGCAGGTCCTTCCCTGCTGTCCTCACAGTCCCCTGAGTTGAATATATATATA